TGTATGTTTGTNTGTTGAGCAAACAAAAACTGCTTTGATAAAAATTTTGTAAATTTTGTTCTGTTTTCATTGTAAATCCTGAAGTTTGCTATTTAACTTTTCTTTCTAACCCCACAATGAAGGCATTCTTTACATCTCATCGGTTTTCTAAAATAATTTTTATTTTTTGCCAAAACTGATTTTAACCAAAAACAAACAAAAAAAATTGACAAAAGATGATTTAGGCAAACAAAAACAAAAAAATCCTTTTTGGCAAAAGATGAGTAAGGTCTTTATTTTAGAAAAATGATATGTTAAAAAAAATAAGTCTCTAAAGCTGCAGTTTGTATCTTTACAAAAATATGTTGTTTTATTCCCCCATATTTATTAAAACGGTCTGCAGAAATGCACCGCTCCCAATCAAAGCCAACCAATCAGATTCAAGAGGAGGGACTTGACGTTGTCAATCAAACTCGTGTACACAGTTCAATGTGTTAATGGTGGAAGAGCATCTTTCCATTACAGGAAAATCGTTTTTCCGCCATCATTAATACTTATGCTAACTAGCCTTAGCAGTGTTGGCCCACTATGTGGTGTAGTTGTAGCTTAGCAACAAGCAAGTGAGAAAGGGTGAGCACGAGAGTGGTTGACAGCGCTAAGACCCTCCTCCTGGCTCTAATTGGTTGTTTCTGACTGAGTCACACCAGGAAGAATGGAGAGAAGCTATTTTCCCAGACTGTCTGTCATATATTATACTGTCACAACATCATGATGATTTTAACAAATAGCTTTAAGTAAACAGAGTGTCATTAAAGTGTTTCATAACTGGGCCATGTGTCTCTGTTTTGGAAATCCAAAAATGGTCATCCCACCATGTAAGTGTATCTGACAAGTATATTAATAACAGGAAGCTTTGTTTAGCTTCAAATTGCATTCGTAAATGAAACAAAGAGGTTTAAACCAAAAATACTCCATAGTTTAAAGGTTCCTGACAAAAATTATTTATTTTCATTTAACCTTTAGTTTACCAGGAAAATCCCATTGTGATTAGAAATCCTGGCCAAGATCAGTGGCAGCACACAGACAGATTACAGAGCATTCACAGCAAAATCAGAAAAAGTTAACACCGTTAAAAGATTCCTCCTGAAAATCAGCAGGAAGTGCTCACCTGGATCATGTAGAGCTGAGCGATGCGGTACTCCTCCACACTCATCGGCATGGGGATCCGGTACTCCTTGATCAGCATGGCTGTGCTGGAACAGAACCGACTCTGCCTGCCTGCGTTCGCGGGGTCTGAAGGTGAGGCTCCTCTCGGTCAGGCTTTGCTAACCCAGCAGCATCGTTAGTCAGCGAGGAGGCAGCCGTCTGTCATTTCCCCCCGCCTGAGACAGAAAAACAAACGGCATTCAGTGTGGGGAGGAAAAAAACGACAACTCTATAACGTCCCTTCAGCCTCCGGCTTACTTACAAGCCATAGGAGGAGTTAGCATGCTTGTCTGAGGGATTAAAGCCCTCCATATACAAGCCAACACATCCTGTGTGTGTGCTCCAGCAGATCTATTACAAGGTAATCCACTGACCCAGCAGCAGCGCTGAAATCCTCCTGCAACCTAAATCCCAACTCTGTGGCACCAAAGATGCAGCAGCGATGGCACTGAAGGACTAATCTTTGGTGTGACCTCTGCAGGTTCTCTACCACTGCAGTGTGGATGTATTTATCTATCTGATCTGACTTTTATTTAGCAATTTCTTAACTGCCTAAAGCTTTGATTAGAGCTGGACAATAAATCTGTAATAATAATCTACTCAGTTTCTCCAGAACCAAATATAGAGATCCAGCATTCAGCTTCTATGCACCACTAATCTGGAACAAACTTCCAGAACACCATAAAGCAGCCGAAACAATGAGTTCTTGTAAATCAAGGCTAAAACCCCCACCTGTTTAGAGTTTCTTTTGAACCAAATTGGAGCCAGGAGGCGGGTCTTAGTGCTGTCAATCACAGTCATGTATGTGCTCCTCATAACATCCCTCTTTCTCTCTGCTACATTACAGCAGGTTCACCGCAAGAATCCTGAGGCTCGTTAGCATGGCCACTGATTTCCCTGCCATTAGTACGTTTAGCAGCGTTAACATTTTATTGTTGAAATTTTGTATTTTGATTTTGATTATTTGTTTATTTTGTGATGTCCTTTTGTAATGTTTGTAAAATGTTAAAGTTGCTGAGGCCGTAAATTAGAAATTTGTTTCCATTTTGATTTTGCCTTAAAGTATTTTTTTATAACTTTATTGTAACTTTTGTGGTGTGAGCCCCAGGAAGGTAATAGTCAGTGGTCTAGAGTAATGGGGATCTCTTAATAATAATAATAAAAAAGTACATAAGCATGATTAACAACGCTAAGACCCGCCCCCTGACTCTGATTGGTTGCATTTCTTCAGGTGGCAATAATAGCTTAGGAAGGAGGTGAAGGGGATCGATCTTTCCACAGATTATCTCTCATATTATACTGTCACGACATGCTGACAGTTTTAACAAATCTGTAAACAAAAAAACATTTCTGTGAAAGTTACACACATTAGCTTTAATGGTGGAGGATAAGAACAACAGACAGTTTCTTTCAGAACAGCTTCCAAACTTAGATTCTGCTGACCCATGATTCAAATGAATGGCCTGGAGGCAACGTGTGCTGTGAATTTCCACAACATAAATAAACTGAACTCAATTAAGCTGAATTAATAACACCCTTCAGCTCATCTGCATTGTTGGCTCATTTTCCTCTTGACACTGTGTGTAATGAATCCAAACATTATATGAGTTTCACTATGCTGAACTGAATCACTGAAATAAATTAGCTGTGGAAAGCTATTTGATTTATTAAATGTACCCACATGCCTGTGCTATCTGTGTTGATTTAATGTTAAGCTTTTCTTTATGTTATTTTCCAAGTAATTAACAGAAAACGAACTGAGCATAAAGCTAATACAGAAAATGTCGTTTCTTTCATTCTAAAACAGTCTGTGTTTACATTTCTCTTTTCCGATTTCCAATTTTTAGAAATATGGTGGCTGCGATGTGGAAACCAGACAGACAATCTTATAGTGCTTTAGATCTCTGAATGTAAATGACTACATAAAAGGACACTGAGACAAGAAAGAGGCTGTTAGACTCTTATTGCAGTCGGTGAGTGTAAACTAATCACATCCTTAAGAGGACGGCTTTTCTTTTTTGTTTCCAGTGATCCAATTACATGTTTTGTTTACACAACCACAGCGGACACTCCCTGCCCTGCCATACTGGAATCCTGACGGTCTGAGCCTTTACAAACCGTCGGGATTCATGATGTGTGTAAAATTCACCAGGAACTGGCTAACAACGAACAGCATTTTCTCAGATTTATGGTGACTTTAGAGGAATACACATAACTGTGAAATTGATCTCTCCCTCTTTACAAAATTTCTTTTTTCCCCTTTGTAGAGCCAGAGAAAAATAACCTGAATAAATCCAATACATTTTTTTATGATGTCATTTATAAAGAAAAGAAAGGTAAACCCAGTTAATGAAAATGTTTGCTAACTACACTTAAATTTTGTATTTACTCAGATTATGTTTATCTACTATTAAAACTGGTTGGATTTGAAACATTTAAGTGTGTTTTTGGAGGAGACGGGGAACAAAAATAGCTGAAATCTGACAAAATAAATACTGGCAAAAACTTTACTTTTTTGAGTTTAAATCATGTTATAATGTTATTTCCTCATCAAAAACATAAATAGAGTGTTGCCTTTATTCATTCATGCTTGTTTGAGAAATCCTTTAATCTTCCATGGCAATCATTCAGCTGTGCAAAACACCTGGCTGAACTTTGCCCCGTTTCTACCTCACAGAGCAGCCCTTCCCATGACTCCCCCACTCGGCTCCTTCAGACTAGCCATGAGCAATTAACAAATGCCTGGTAGAACTGAGCATCTGCTGAGCTCATTATAGGAGCTACATCTCAGTGAAATGCTGGTAAAAACATTGTTAAAGTGTTAATACAGGAGCCATGTTGTGATGACTTCTTGAAGGCAAAGCTTCAGAAAGAGCAGGAGTTTCTTAAAGAGACAGAGACCCAATTTCAAGGCATTAAATAGCTAAGTAAACTTTCTTTTAAGTCATATTTGAAATTTAGAGCACTTTTGTAACAACTGATGGTAACATAGATACTTAACATAGATACTATGTGCCTGGAAAACACATAACACTGCCCCTTTAAGAGTCTAAGAAAGATCATTTTGTTTTTAGTAAGGCTTAGCCTATAAAAATGATGTTCTGGGTAAAAACATTTGCTTTAAAAAAATAAATGGATAATAATTGTTAATAGCCTAACCTGAAACTCAGGCATGTTAGACGTTTTTCTTCTGTGTCCATGGAGACGGTTTAATGACTCCCATTGCTAATCTAAAGACACTAACTTCTCAGCTCTGCCTTCCTTCCTCGCCCGTCTATCTGAGCCGAGTTCATCCACCTGCTGCCATGTGAACCAGGTCAGCCAATCACAGACTGAGGAGGAGGGAGGTCATGCAGAAGCACAAACTTAATCTTCAGCAGATGATAGCAGGCTGTAAATCTGAGAGGGGAGGGAGTTGGACACTAGAGTCTAATGGGAAGTGTGTGTAAGGTGTGTCTTCATCTGTGCATGATTAAGCATGACTGTGTGGTAGAGTGGGAGACCATGGAGGGTTTGTTAAGCTTCATCAGCTTGTCATTTAATGAAAATATTGCTTTAAGTGGCTACAAACAGGCATTAATTGCACTACATTAGTAGCATATTGAGAATCAGATTTGTGGGCTTTTAGTTTTAGATGTTTTCTTAAACAAAAAAAAGAAAAATCTGTGAGAGATAATTTACCAGAAAACAGCAATCGGTGTACATCTACTTTAGTCACGACCTACTAATTCTGATTAAAACTAAAATCAATAGGTAAAATCTCAAAGAAAAAGAGAAACCAGAACTGGTCAGAAAAAGGCTTATTGGTGGATAGTGGAGAAAAATCAGAAACAACGTAAACCTGACCAGAAATGGAAGGAAGTAACTTGAAATCAAAAGGTGACATAAACCACCGTCAGACACCTTAAAACTGAGCAAAGAGACAAAAGCTACAAAAGAATAAAATCCAGAGGAGACAGAGACTGATATGCAAACTGACAACAGGAACCAATAATTAGAAATGTAACAAAGTGACCACAGAGTGAATCTGAAGAGACTAAAAACCAGAAGGAAGAAATTCAAACAACCAGAGAGACGGAGCAGAGCAAGCAGAGAATAAGAACATAAGATTGTTACTTCTAAACCGTTTTTTACCTTTGTCGTCTTTCCTCATTTCATACTTCAAGTTTATACTAAGCGAAGCCACTATTTTTCATATCTGCCATGCTACCATCTACCAGCAGGAGGCGTTATTAGGATTTTGGTCAGGGGTCATAATCCATCATGATTCATAAAAATCAACTGGCCCAATCAGGAAATAAATCCAAAAATCAGTGCAAATGAAGTTTACACTTACATAAAATACAAATCCAATTTGAAGATTTCCACATTGTTATGACCATTTATCTACATAACTCAAAAAAATAGGGCAAAGAAAAATTAACCATCAGATGATGGGTTATGTAAATGGGTGTGAAATTATTTATTTACAGGTACAAATGAAAGTAGAAAGGGAGGAAATAGAGTGCTGGGGTACAAAATGAGGAAACGAATAAAATCAACTAAAGACCTGCTCATTTCAGTTGTAAAAATTTAATCAATTTGAATAACAGGCTGAACTTGTTTGATATCTGGGATCAATTGGGATGGATGTATTTTACTTAAAATACAAAAAAAGAAGAATAAAAACAACTAAACAAGCCAAAAGGGTTTACACTGTCTAAAAGTCTCGATCTGGTTCATATTTATGTGAACAGAGAGGAAGCGGTACAGATGGATGCCCACAAATCACAAAACATTCTTACTACTCCTGAAAATCATTAACTCTATAAAACCCAAACGTCCAGCCAGGACTCTGTGCAAACGGAGGCTGAGTGCTGATGAATAATCAGAGGAAATATTTTCCACTGAGTCCTGAAGAGAACGAAGACCCCCACCCACACGAATGAACATGGGACAACCGACACGTACGCAGAGGAACACACTGTCTTTATAGCCTGTTTTTGTTGTTGTTGTTTTTTTTAATGCAAACTGACTTTAATGTTTTATTGACTCCATCAGCTCAACGAGCGGTGAGTCAGCACATCAAACACGGCGGCCTCCATCGACTGAGCCGGACCAAGTGAAGTGTGAACCACAAATGAAGGCCAAGGAGTAGGGGGTTTAATGATCCGTCGAAAATTTAGGAGTTTATCTCCTTTTAAATTGTTTGGACAGCAGATCGGGTATCACGGATGGAGCCGCTTGTCTGGAATGGACAACGGTTCAGATGATGAAGTAAGCAGCAGCTGCATTCAAAGAAAACAGAAACCTGAATGATTTGGGGGGTTTTTTCAATTGACATTATGGACTCATTTATAACTTCTTCATCTCCAAATCTTTGGATTTCCATTCCGAAAACTATGGAGTCTAAGATGTAGTGGCCATGTTTTGGTTTTGACATTTTATATTCTGGTTAGTTTCTTATTGATCATTAACTGTGTCTCAAGTGCAAATGTACGTAAATCCTTGTCTATGTTCCGCTAATGTCGAAAAAACACAATTTCGCAATAGTTTCCTTGAAATAAGAAATGAATTTGAATCAGTACGCTACTTCACATGATAAGTAATTTAAAAATCACAGCAGTAAACAGTTACGCAAGATTTATTCATAATTCAGCCATGTCTGCGCTCCCCATCCTGAAGCTTTCTATAAGTAAATATTCTTTAACATATGATGTCCAATGCTGCTTGTTCAGTGTCACATGTAGATTACTAAAGACTAGAGACTCTCAGATCTGTTTTAGTGTAGTGGTTATTTAGCAGCATCATGTCCCACAGAGTTCACAGCCAAAATTCTTTTAAATAACATTAAATTAGCATAGAATCCAATTACATTTTACTTCATGTAGCTGGATTAAAACCCACACCACTGTTATTTTTAAGCTGCAGATGTAAAAAGAGTGGGGAACACTGATTTTGGCACTCCTTGGCTCGTAGGCTTCTTGGATTAATTTGTTTCTGTCTCTATGGCGAGAGGCTGAGGTGGGCCACAGAGCAGGCCACGATTCTCTTCAAATATGACTTTTACAACATATTCTGAAAAGGTCCATATTCTGCATCTTTAGCTTCAAATCTCAGCCAAACAGAGGCATTCAAAAAGTCAGAAGAAAAAATATCAGCTTCAAAGTACCTGATACAGAAGGTGACTTCGTCTCAAATGTAATAAAGTTAAAATTCAAATTAAGTTTAAATTTGCAGGGTTTCTCCTATAAAACTAGCTGACTGCGTCGGTAGGGCTGCCTACTGTGTATTTGAAAATACCACTTGGTAGCTATGTGTTATTGGAAGACAGCATTAATAATACTTAAACACCAACTACAGTCAAAGACAAACATTTATAAAACCTGGAATAAATAAACAAACAATGCCAGGCCTGGTGGGGAACAAGTAAAGCCTGGTGGCCCACCAGACTTATTATACACTGAGGGAAACCCTGTTTTGATATTTCTAATATGTTCCAGTTAAAACAAATCTGTACAACTACAACAGAGTATTAGGGCTAAGAAATGTTTT